TGTATATCACAGCTAACTTAATTTTATACCAGCTTTACTCATAAGCTACAATTTTAAGACACACTCAGACCATTTGCTACATTCTTTTTTTTTTTTTTGTCTGTTGTGGGGCTTGAACTCTGGGCCTGGGCGCTGTCCCTCAGCTCTTCAGCTCAAGGCGAGCGCTCTACCACTTGAGCTACAGTGCCACTTCCTGTTTTCTGGTGGTTTATTGGAGATAGGAGTCTCTCGGTCTCTCCTGCCCAGGGTGGCTTTGAACCGCGATCCTCAGATCTCAGCCTCCTGAGTAGCTAGGATTACAGGCAGGAGCCACCAGTGCCCAGCTAGCTCTGGTATTTTTGAGTGGAAATGGTTGTGCCTTGGGTGGATGAAGAGACAGTACCTGCCCAGAATATGCACTTCTCTGATCTTCAGGACTGTTTCCTGGGTCCTCACCTACCTCTTTGGACATCTTCTTGGGCAGGTAGGCGGGATCCTTCTGCACCACCTGAGGGTCTCCAAAGAAGGGCGGCAGAAAGAGCTTCCATGACCTTTGCCCTCCGCTTTCCAGAGCTCCAGTTCTTTCCCCAGAGGTACCTGCTAGAATGGAGGGAGCTGGCCAGGGCAGAGAAGAGGTTTCTGCTCAGACCCCTGCCAGGTGAGCACACCTATTGTGCTTGAGCTGATGCATGTATTTGTGTGTGCCTGTGTGTCTCAAAGCATGCAATGAGTGTTCCATGGGTTGTACGTGTGCAAGAGCACACAGGCATGCATCTGTATATGGACAGCACATGGGGTGCCCCTACCTGCTCAGGGCCTAGCATGCATTGCCTGTCCCTGGCTGGAGTTTTCCTCTTTATGGTTGTTGTAACTGGTCTTTATGGCTTTGCCTTGGGACCTGGTTCTGGCTCCTTGCTGTGGTCCCCACTCAGCAGTGACTGATCCCTGGCCACCCATTCAGCTGCCTAGGGACCCTGGGGCCAATGTTTGTCCCCTGTTTCCCCAAATGGAGGCATGTAGAGGCTTCCTGCCCGGAGTCTCAACTCTGCCAAGGCGGAGGGAATGGGGAACAGCTGCGTTGGGCCGAATTCCGGCTCCGTATGGATTTAGTTTGACAACAAAGCTCTCTCTGTGTGTTCTCAGGCCCCTTACATAACAGGGGTGGGGGTGGGTGGCGGTGGGTAGGCAGTAGGAAGAGGTGGAGATGGAGACCAAGAGACACTGGATGGAATGGCTGGGAATGTTACAGGATGGGTAACTGATGATGCTTTAAGGAGGAGGCCTCTGAAAAGGGGAAGCTGCTGCTTGGCCCTTTGGATGTGGAATTCTTTGCTTTTTCCTTTCCTTTCTTTCCTTTTTTTTTTTTTTTCTTGTTGTTGGTTGTGGGGCTTGAACTCAGGGCCTTGGCACTGAGCTCTTCTGCTCAAGGCTAGCATTCTACCACTTGAGCCACAGCTCCACTTGTTTTTCCGGTGGTTGATTGCAGATAAGAGTCTCCTGAACTGAGATCTTCAGATCTTAGCCTACTGAGCAGCTGGGCTTCCAGGTGTGAGCCACCAGGGCCTGGCTGGATGCTGAATTCTTGTCATAGAAAAGAATTAGAGGATATATCAAAGTGGAAACCAAGAGAGTTTATTAGTAAAGCAAAAGATTAAATAATATACAATCCAAACATGGGTACAGCCTAACTGATAACAGGTGTGCCAAGGGCTTTAATATCCTGGCTATTTCATTGTTTTTATACACATTACATTTAGTCACTCTTGTGATTATACTATTATCCATTGGCCTCAAGACTTTTAAGATTGATTTGCTTGTTACGCTTTGGTGATTGATGTACAGGCATCATAGCAAAGAAAGGATACATTTTTTTTTATATACTCCCTTTAAGACAGAGGTCCATCCTTGAGAGAAGTGAAACTTTTAAACATCCTTTGTGCTAAGAGGAGTCATTTGCCTAAGTGTTTGTTTTTCCAGGAGAGGTTTCCAGAGCACACTAATAATTTGGGGCAAGAAGGCCAGGTCAGAGGAAGAACCCCTGTTCTTTTACTGCAACTGACGCGGGAGTGTAAGGCTTAAAGCAAAGAAGATGGCACGTCTGTGGTTTTAGGGTTTTTGTGTGTTTGTTTGTTTGTTTTCCTTTGTCAGTCGTGGGGCTTGAACTCTGGGCCTGAGCACTGTCCCTGAGCTCTTCAGCTCCAGGCTAGCACTCTACCATTGAACCACAGAGCCACTTCCGATTTTCTGATGGTCAATTGGAGATAAGAGTCTGGGGGGGGGGCTGGGAAGGTGGCTCAGTGGTAGAGCGCTTGCCTTGCATGCCTGAGGCCCTGGGTTCGATTCCTCAGCACCACATAAGCAAAAAAAAGCCGGAAGTGGTGCTGTGGCTCAAGTGGTAGAGCACTAGCCTTGAGCTGAAGAGCTGAGGGACAGTGCCCAGGCCCAGAGTTCAGGCCCCACGACCGGACCAAAAAAAAAAAAGAGTCTCTCGGACTTTTCTACCTGGGCTGGCTTTGAACCGGGATCCTCAGATCTCAGCCTCCTGAGTGGCTAGGATTACAGGCGTGAGCCACCAGCACCTGGCAACATCTGTGGTTTTTTAATAGAATTCCTCATGAACGTGGTGCTGGTCTCTGAATTTCTGGCTGCAGTTTCCCTCATTTTCCCTGATGTTCCCTGTGACCCAGGAGGAGAAGGAGACTGGTGAGAGACCATTAAATGAGAGGATGGGAAGAAGTATTGATCTTCACCCTACTTTTTGCTTTTTGTCCCTATGGGGCCTCCCTTTGGGTTATCTCAGGATCTGTTTCTTTGTCTCCCTTAGTGTCTCTGAGGTGGTTTTTTTCCCCCCCTGACTGACTCAGAGGTATCTAGGAAGAACTGGGTATGCAGTGGCTCTGTGAGTGGTGCTTATCCCCAGGCTGCAGTGGGGTGGACTGGTCATGCTTTTGTATCTTGAGGACAAGCTTGGTTCCTAGAAGGGCAAGGAGAAGTTGGTGGCTAAGGAACCACATTATCCTAGGCATGGGTTTGGGGTCTGATAGGTGAAGGTCTGGCACATGGTGTGAGCCACCATGGGACCACCACAGGGTGGAAGTGAGTAGGTTCTAGGATCCAGACTGTCACCTGTTCCTGCTGTCTTCCTTCTCTAGGGCCATGCCCACCAGGGCTGGATCAACTAAGGAGTGGACCTTGAAACCTGTCTAGAAGGGAGGCCCCATTGTCTTGGATCTGAGCCTAACGGGCTGGTCCTTGACCCTACTCTTTAACTGAATAGATTCTATAAAAAGAGAATCATTTTCCTCCCTTGCCCTTGAGCTTCTGGTCCCTCCCCTTAGGCCAGCCTGCGTCCTAGCTACCCCTCTTTGCAGTGCTCAGGAGGCAGCCTAACTAGCGTAGATCTTCCTTGTCCCAAGAAGACTGGCCCTATTCAGCCATTTCCTATCCAGGGCGCTCACCCCACCTTCCTGAAGCCCTGTTCTCTGCATACCCACCTCACCTCAACCCCAGTGATCTGATGTTTTCTTGTCATCACTAATCTCCCTACAGCTGTCCAAATAGAGTGGGAAGAAAATGTTCATTTTCTGGAATAGCTAGACCGACAGCCCAGTAAGGCCAGGTAAGCTGGCCAAAGCTGGGTGTGCACTGGAGTGCCTGTGCGGGCCGGTCCTCATTCCTGCTTTTTCTAAGCAGGAGGAAATCAAGGCTCAGATTATACCACAGGGACTGGTGGGGCCTCATTGGTCTCTCCTGCCTTGTAGTGGACCACAGGCCCTTAGGACTACCTGTTTGGGTTATCTCAGGGCCTGTCTCTTTGGCTCTCAGTTTTTCTGAGGTTTTTTTACTTTTTATTTTGCGTCCCAAAGTTCCTGGGAAGAGTTCGATTTGCTCTCAGGCTGCAGTTATTCATCTGATCATGCTTTCATAACTTGAGGTCAAGTCTGGTTTACCAAGAAGGTCAAGGAACGAGGCTACGCATGGGTTTGTGATCTTACGTGTTGGCATTTGGCATACGGTGTGACCGGAATTGTTTTGAGGGATCTTTCTGAAGAAATTCTGTGGACCTTGAGCCTGCTGATTATGAGGCTAGGTGGGTGTGGGACAAAGCTCTCATCCATTGAACAAACCTAGACCGTAGAATGCTTGGTCTCTAGGCACTGCTGTCCTGAGCCTCACTTTCTCATTGCTTTCCCTCCGGTTGACAGATGAAATGCCGGAAGCCTGAGGGCTTATGAGAAGCTGGGAGGGGCCTAGGAATTTTCTGGATTCAGCTGATCCATGAACTGAGAAGACAGACCCTCTCACAGGATTAGGTAAAGGTGTAGAGAGGTTGGCCAGGCCTGGCTTTGGTAAATGTGGGCTGGGAGAGAGCTCTTCACTGGGCTCTGGGTGTGCTGTGGACAGGGCCCTAGCCACAGGCTGTCCCAGGGGCCTCTGCCATGTGATCTCATCTTCTATTGGAACTCCTGTAGCCCCTCCTCAGACCTCCCTCCCCCACCCCCCAAGTCCCTCTGAGTGTGACAGAAGATGGGCTGTGGTCCTGGAAGCTGAGTCTAGCTGGACAGAGGGCAGCTTTTTCTCTACCCAACTTTCCGAGGTCTCTGGAGGGCTGGTGTAGCCACTCCCCTGCTCCTGAAGCTCCCTAGCTCCTAGCTCCAGGGACCTGCAATCAGACAAACAAAACATCAAGAGCTCCAGCTCAAGATGAAGGACTCAGCACATCAGCACCCAGGAATGGGGGAAGAGAATGAAAGGAGTGTCTTGGCTGAGGGTACCCAGCAAGCCCTGGAAGCTGTATGTGAGGGTGGGGTGGGTGGGTAGGGAAGGAAGAGGAATGAGGGCTGTGTGTGTGTGTGTGTGTGTGTATGTGTGTGTGTGTGTGTAGGGGGCCCACTGTGCTCTTGTGTGTACTGAGTAGTGACTAGTGTGCACTGAGCTATGTATGGGGTTATTGTTAAAGCCTGAATGAATATGTTAGTGGGCAGGGCAGGTGTGGCCTGTCAGGGGGCCATTCCTGCTTCCCGGCTCTGTGGTATGATAGAAGTGTGAGTCCTCACACAGCCACCTCCCCCTTCCCCCCTCTCCCAAAGGGGCTGGGTCAGCACAAGATGGCCCTGAGTTCTGTGATTACTCGAGCCAGCCTCCTCCTCTCCAGCATTTCTTTTTTTTTTTGGGTCCGGTCGTGGGGCCTGAACTCTGGGCCTGGGCGCTGTCCCTCAGCTCTTCAGCTCAAGGCTAGCACTCTACCACTTGAGCCACAGCACCACTTCCAGCTTTTTTCTTTTTGCTTATGTGGTGCTGAGGAATCGAACCCAGGGCCTCAGGCATGCAAGGCAAGCGCTCTACCACTGAGCCACCTTCCCAGCCCCCTCTCCAGCATTTCTGCCTGCTCCAGGGACCACTGTTCGCTGTCTATTAGGGTTGGTCTTTTCCAGCAGAATCTAGAATACCAGCTGTTTCCCCCCCCCTGCCCCCAAGCCTCCATCCTCATCATCTCCATTACTTTGCACACTTTTTACTGATGGAGACCACCTTCAGAGGGTCTCTTACCACTGTCTCTGTTCCTGGGGATGGCCAAATACAGGACTTGGATGGCTTGATTTCTCTTGGGAATCATAGACTCCACTCCTCTCTGGCCAGCTCCACTCCCTGCCCCCC